CTCCAGCTAGTCCAAAATGCGGCCGCGCGGGCGGTGTTGGGAGGGACTCGTCGCTCCCACGTAACACCGCTGCTGCGCGAGCTGCATTGGCTGCCGGTGGCCTTCCGGGTGCGCTTCAAGGTACTGACTATCATCTTTAAGGCGCTCCATGGCAGCGGACCAGGATACCTTCGAGACCGCCTTCTGCCACAGATTACCTTCCATCGGCCAGTACGCTCCCACAGGGTGGGTCTCCTCAGGGTGCCGTCGGCCAGACAGTGCCGGCTGGCGACCCCAAGGGGGAGGGCCTTCTCTGTGGGAGCTCCCACCCTCTGGAATCAGCTGCCCCCAGAGATCAGGGTGATCCCTGATCTCCCTTCCTTCCGCCGCGCCCTCAAGACATGGCTGTTCCAACAAGCGGGACTGGCCTAGGATAATTTTTAAGAGGGGTTTTTTAGAGGGGTTTTTAATTACTTTTTAATTAGACAATTTAAATATTTCATTTTAATTAATTTTAATTTGTGATTGTTAGTGGTGTTTTTAATTGATTGTCAGCCGCCCTGAGTCCGCAAGGAGAAGGGCGGGATATAAATTCAAATAATAAATAAATAAATAAATAAATAATAGAGCAGCTTCTGATAGCATTCAGACACCCAGTAGTCTCTTATCCCATCTCATCAGTATGTATGACTGAAGCAAGGGAGAACTTTAAGATGGAAGAGGTATGTGAAGAAGAAAGAATAGAAGCTAAAACTTTTTCCATCTTTATAAATATCACATATTTCAAGACATGTTTCATATACAGAAGATTAAAAAGTAAAACAATATATAGCTGTCTTTTCCACTCTTTTATTCATACATTTATTCAAAATGTATGTATCTTTATCAAATGTACACAATCATAAAAGGCTTTTGTGTTCTAATAAATAGAACACAAAAACAAACAGAATGCTTATTGGTGGTCCTTGGTAATCAGGACCAAAATTTTCATCGTAAATCAATGTGATTATAAAGGGAAATATTGTGTAAATCTAGCTGCTTAGTAAAGCAGTCCCAGCAATCCCCAGATATCATTATTAAGCATATCACTGGGGATCATTTTTATGTGACCATGTCTCCATCTTCCTGCAGGCTTCCTCTTTTATGTGGAGGAAGGTTGCAAATTGTCATCATGTCACACAGGACACTGCAATAATCTGAAATCTGGGCCAGTTGCTGAGCACCCAGATCACAATCATGTGACTGAGGGGGCACAGTGACAGCTGGAACTTTGAGGATATTCATAAATAATAATTGTTCAGTGCTGTCCTAAGTTCAAATAGTTGCTGAATGAGTGGTCATTAATTCATGATCACTTGTACAACGAACATTCCACTTATTGCACATTCTTACCCTCGCCTTTGTGTAAGTGCTGGAGGCGGCTGTGCCTGAGGAACAAGTAGACGCTTTCGGAAGGGATCCATCAGGGATGGTGGCATTCCAGGTCTCATGGAAGAAGCTGTACCATATGGAGAGCCTGAAGGTGATCCCACTTGTAATCCTGCCATAGGCATTCTTCCACTAGACAGCATTCCAGGGCGCTGGTGTAAAAGAAAAAAATGGGCATTTTAGAAAACTTGGCCCTGCAACTCTCAATAATTCATTGGAAGCTTAAAAGTCATATTATCAGACAAAGTTTGATAAAAGTATGGAATGTTATAAAGTGAATAGTAAGCCCAAGAATTTCATCCTGGTTTCTCCTTCAAATGCTTTTCATGCTGGACAGAATTAAAGCAAGAAAAATAAAATTACATACATAGATTAAAAACAGAAAAAATTACTCAGTAAAGGCTGCAATATACAATGGTAACAGTGTAATAAAAAAACCCACGAATTATAAATACTCATATAAAATCAGTACAATATGCATACATCTCTTGTTTAGAAGTCATAACAAAAAAAATTGTATGACAAAATGGAAGTAAAATTTCCAAGAATTACAATGCAACAATGGAAGGAACTATTGACTAAATCTACATTTACATCAAATTATAGCTTAAAGGAAAATTAAGTTGGAGTTGCTTACCATCTATATTGGTAAAAATTATACATTCTTCTTCTTCTTTATCATCATCATCATCATCATCATCATTTCTAGCCATTGTCTATCCACTGCATGTTTCCAACCATCATTCTAGCCTCTGCATTTTTCCAACTAATATGACCTTGAACTTTCTTTTGCCAATTGGGCCCACAATACTTGCTGATGTCATTGATCCATCTTGTTTTAGGTCTCTTTTTATCAAGTGGAATCCATCTATGACTGCCTTAGTCCACCTACCATCAGTTCGTCTTGCTATGTGACCAGCCCATTTCCATTTCAATACTTTTACTCTCTTGATATCATATACATTCGTTTGTTCTCTAATTCATGTGCAGATCTTTCTATCTTGTCTTGTGATGCTGAGCATGTATCTTTCTATGGTTTTTTGCGCCACTCATAGCTTTTGTGAAGTTACTGTCCATGTTTTGTTGGCATATGTTAGAAGGGGCATTGTCTTACCTGAACGCCTTTTCTCAGCACGGAGATGGAGAATCCACCGATGGGTTTGGTCTGTCTTCCTGCCCATTAGATCAAGTCAGTCACACTTGCCACGCCCGTCCTGGACTAGGACACACCCAGTCTCGACAAGGGCGAAAGCCAGTGATGACAGTCTGACGTGTTGGCTCCCAGACCCCTAACACCGGCCCTGATGGACCCAAAGGGGTGAAAGTGGATTCTCCATCTCTGTGCTGAGAAAAGGCATTCAGGTAAGACAACGCCCCTTCTCCAGCACAGGAGATGGAGAATCCACCAATGGGACATACCAAAGCCTCACTGTCCCAATGGGTGGGAAGCAGTCATGGCCAGAGTCTCGTCCCTAGATACCACTTGCTGAAGGACCCTCCGTCCAAAGGAGGCGTCCGCGGAGGCAAACCTGTCTAGCTTATAATGCCTCGCAAATGGGGAAAGCGAAGGCCATGTCGCAGCCCTACAAACCTCCTCGATGGACGCCTGTGTGGCCCATGCCGCGGAGGTCGCAGCGCTGCGAGTTGAATGTGCCATGACATGACTTGGAACTGACAGGGAACGCGACTGGTACGCCTCCGCAATACAAGCCCTGATCCACCTTATGGTTGAGGCAGACACTTTCTGTCCCATAGAGGAATGGTGAAAGGAGACGAAGAGGGCTTCAGACTTGCGGAAGGAAGCCGTTCACCTGATATAATAGCAGGTGAACGGCACACACTGCGGACGTCCAGTGTGTGCCCCTGTTATTCCAAGTCATGGGACGGATTAGGGCAAAAATCTGGCAAAACAATCTCCTGGGCCCTATGAAAAAGGGTGTTGACCTTGGGAATGAAGGTAGGATCCAAGCGAAGGACCACCCGGTCCTGGTGAAAGATACAGAGGTCATCCCTGATCGACAGTGCCGCAAGCTCAGAGATTCGCCTGGCTGACGTGATAGCGACCAGGAAGGCAACCTTGAGAGACAAGAACTGCAGAGCACAAGTTATGAGAGGCTCAAACGGTAGCTTGGCGAGAGCCCGTAATATCCACGGCAATTCCCAAGAGGGATACCTATGTATCACGGGCAGTTTTGTGTTGGTGGCGCCCTTAAGAAAGGAGCATATTCTGGGATGCTGGGCCAAAGGAACAGAATTGGCACAGGTAAGTAAGGTTGATAGGGCCGCAACCTGCCTGCGGATGGTATTAGGCGCTAAGCCCTTATCGAGGCCTTCGAGCAAGTACTCCAAAATCTGTGGAATCATCAATTCCAAGATATCTAGCTGCCTCCTCTCGCACCAATGGCAAAAATTCCTCCATGTGGAGTCATAGATGCGATTTGTCGCTGGCCGTTGGGAGGCCTGAATCATGGAAATCATGCCTGATGAATATGATTCCCGGGTCAGGATCCGGCGCTCAAGTGCGAGGCGGCTAACTGCAGCCACTGGGGTTCTGGGTGTTGTAGAACTCCCTGGTTGAGAGATACGCGATCTGGGGGAATCCTCCATGGGGGAGATCTGGCGAGATTCACGAGGTCGGCAAACCACGGCCTCCGTGGCCAGTACGGGGCTACGAATATTACCTCTGCCCACTCCTGCAGCAGTCAGAGGGAGAGGGGGAAACGTGTAAAGCAGGCCCCCTGGCCATAGACCACGAAGAGCATCCACTTTCTCTGCCCCTGAAGACGGGAACCGGGAGAAGAATCTTGGGAGCTGGGAGTTCGCAGGAGAAGCGAACAGGTCTATGACCGGTTGTCCGAAGCGCTGCGCTATCTCTGCGAAGAAATCCGGGTGCAGGCGCCATTCAGAATGATCCATGGTCGACCTGCTTAGAAAGTCCGCTTGCCGGTTCGCCTGCCCCGAGGCGTGTTCGGCCCTGAGGGAGGACAGGTTGGTCTCTGCTCAGGAGCCCAATAACTGGGCCTCGGCTATGAGGGACCTGGACTGGGTACCCCTTGCTGGTCCATGTGGGCCTTTGCCGCCACGTTGTCCATAAGGACTGTCCCTGTTGCCTCGCAACCTTGTTGCGGAAGTGGCAGAGAGCCAGGTGTATGGCTCTGAGCTGCAACCAATTGATATTGTGTCTCAGGTCTGCTCGGGACCACCGGCCCTGAGCGAACTGAGACCGAAGGTGCACTCCCCAGCCGAACAGACTGGCGTCTGTCATAAGTGTGAGCCGGACGGGTTCCTTGAAGAATGACCCTCTGGCTACCACTGACAAGAACCACCATCGGAGGGACCGCAGGGTCTGAGCAGGAACCCTTACCTGTTGGTTGGAGGAGCTGGTGCCCAACCTTTGGAAGGGGAGCAGGAACCATTGGAGATTCCTGGAATGCAGTCTGGCCCAGGGCTACCCGTACCGAATCCGACCGAACACAGGTAAGGATGCATGTTAGATCCTACCTTGTGGCGATGAGGGTGGCGAGGTCTAATTACTACTCCACCCTCATTGCGTCATCAGATAATCGCCCGGCCTCCCTCTTCAGGGTGACCCGCTCCCTCCTTCAATTGAGGGGAGGGGGGGACCCCCTGGCGGGGAAGGCTG